TGTGATAGTGAAAACAGTGTAACCTATTTCGTGCATAATTAGTAAAAACAGTAGTTAAAACGGTAACACTAAACTTGAAGAACAGAACATCAATACCGGTGGCTGTCTTTCATAGTTATTGGCCAGCAGCTGCGGGTACTTTTTGTTGTAGGTTGTCACGGTTGTTCAAGAAGTTGAATCGGGCTAAGATACTTTGGTCATATATAATAATAATATGAGGGGCGTACACACACACTTCAACGCCTAAAGTAAAGGCATGGATCTCTTTCACTCTCTTCATGCCAATCAGTCATTTACTACACTCTCTCATTCTTGGCACTTTCGATTTGGCCTTATTTAAGGATATCCTCAATCTAATTTAAACTGCCTCTGTGGCCGAATGGTTACCATGCTGCATGCATGCATATTCGATTCCTGGGCTGGGAGAAACGTTTGTATGGCCTATATTTATATCTCGTGAGTGTGGGTGAGTTTGGGTGTATTTTGTGGTTGTCTATGTGTATGCTTTTCCAGACTTTTCCTCCTATTTCGTAAATGCTCTGTGCCTTTGCTTAATCAACAAGTTACCACGTAGCCAAACCATCGAAGCACTCCTTGGCAGTTACACCAATTTCTTTGGCAATACATAAGATCGTTAACTGTAATATGATCACCAGAATAATCAGTCTTACTTCATATACTACCCAGAAAACCCAGACTCGGAATTAATAAGATTAATTTATTTCCCACGTTGTTTGATCAGAAATTAGATCCGGGATCTTCTCACGCACGATTAACTTAGAGATTATGCTACTAAAATCGTACTAGTACGTACGTACGTGTACTTGAACGTTCAACACCGTAAAAAAACTTAAGCTCTAATGAGATTAATGTAAGATTTAACCGACCGACTGACACACAGGGCAGTAGGCTAGCAAGTACCAACGTGTTCATGTGGTCTCTAACATGATGACCATGAATGGTTTATATATTTACCACAAATGATATTTGTGGTACTATCAAGAAGACGTCGACCGACTTATTCAGTGCCGTAAAGTTTAGCCACAGAGCATTGTTTTGTGAAAGATGATGTAGTGGTCAGGATAGAAAAGGGAAATGCTTGAATGATTTGGGAATGGGTTAATAGATTAAAGATAAATATTTGTAAAGCGAATTTGGATGGAAATTACTAGAGATAGACTTCGACGTATATATACTTATGAGTATATTCAGAGGAACGGTTAAAAAAGATTAAATTGTGATAACAACGTGAACCAGTGAATAACCGCTCACGCGATACATGCAGCCGTGGACGCATGCCGCCACAGAGCGTTACGCGATTCATGCGTCTCTGGAAGCATACCACACCTAGAGGTGCCGGTGATGATTTTATACCGATTTATCGGATATCGAAGTTATAACAGGTGAAAGAACTAATATTAATTGCTATTTCGGTAACTACTCTAGCAAACCATAAAGTTTTTAAAGCCTGGGTCTGTCATTTAAATAAATAAACAACTTCAAAAATACGTCACGACAATCGTGTGAGTGTTATTGTTTGGGCTGGTGATTTCGGTGTTTATTTATTGAAAACCATAAGTAGCGTTTTTTAAGTTTACCCTGAATATAAATGTTTATAAACTATACTTTAAGGAGTAATTTCATGGTAAACGTTAGAACCACTCAAACGGAATATTATCATATTTATCCAAGTACACCAAAAATTTCATTAGTGCTTTTTAAGTGCAGGATTTGGGTTTATTACTGCATTTTATTTGAGATGTTTTTGTTGGTAGTACGGAGGGTATTTATTTAGCAATGCAGAATAATAATTTTTATTTATAAAAACTTGTATTTAAACTGAATGCTTTTCTAATTTGCGAAACCAGATAGCCGCCATTTTGCGGTAGGTTTATCCTATCCTTTAAGGGCCTTGTAGGTAGGGGTAGCGCATTGCGTGAGAAATAATATTAACATAATAATAAACTTTTTTTGATTGTCCATACAGCTTGATAGCCAAATCTTAAAATGATCTCAGTATCTTCAAATCATCCTAATATCTAACCTAATTCAAATATTTTCCGAAGCCATAATATGTTTTCCGATCACAACAATCAGGGTTATCCCCGACAACCTCCAGGATGCCGTATCAAAAGACAATAGAAGTCATTCTTTTTACAAACTTATTCAACATTTTTTAGCCTCTAAATACTCGTATATTCATGGGTCTATTTCGTTCAGATTGGAGAAGTCCTCAAGAAAGTCTAATTTAAAAGTAAAAACTAGAATAAACTGGCATGTAGTGAAGAGATTGATGGAAGTAAAGAAAGCAATAAAGGTTGGAAGACACTGGAAGACAAGTTAAATAGTATGTACCAGCAAAGTTGAAGCGTTCTCAGGCCAAAAATCAAACCAAGTTTTCTTTTAAATGGAGAATGTATCTAGACCCGCACTTAGTTATTACGTTGAACCCCGTTTTTGTGAATTCTTCTTGTATGTAATAAAAATGTTATCTGGCCCTTATACGCGATTGGCTAACAGAATAATCAAGATGAGGGTGTCCACACGCAAAAAGAATCTTTAAGATGGAAACGCGTTGACTTTGGTAATAGTATATCTGTGTATGTAGAGTTATATTAAAGCCTTAAGTGCAACGGGAGACGTGTCGTTGTCTCTGCTTACAGATCCACTGAGCTTATCTAATCTCTATATAGTGTTGCTAGTAACATTAATAACTGTCAGCTCATTTGTCGGTTTTCAATGTGTTAGTTCCCGTTTCTGTCATGCTACAGATATGGTGGCACTTTAGTGTCAAACCGGTTGGTTAGTAATTTGAGTAATTAATTCATATGATAAGTGCGTATCAGATCAAAATACGACGTTCAATTTTATTACCAAAAATGTATTGAAAAATAAAATTCCAAAATCAGATATAAGTTTTATTTCATAGGCAAGCACATTATACTTAACACTACCACTCATTTATAAATCAGATTCCTGTGAGAAGAGTGAGTAAGCAACTCCACTGATTGTTCTTTTTATATAATCATTTGTTCCAAAAGTTATACATAGATGAACCCACAAGAGCTAAAGGGATTAATACATGCATTTTAGTCATCCCAGTATGCCGAAGCTGTAGCATAAAGTTTTTGTTTCATTATAGTTTCAAACTTTGTAAATAGCAAATTTTGAATATCAACCAGAATCTTATCAAAGAAGCGTATAATATATACATTGGCCCTCAAATGAATTTGTCTGTGAAAACGATTATCAAGAACAGCCAGTTTATTTTTATCCTTTGTATTAATGTTATATCATTATTTCTCAAATATTACTATACTTCTTAAGATAGATTAAATTTTTAAATGTAATGTGACGCTAATGTAAGAAAGTTAATTTCTTTAAACTTCTTTCTCAAAGGGTCCAGGTGTTTTTTGTCAAGAAAACCCGCTAGTGTTTACAGGTCAATGGACATAAAACTGTGCATTTTAATGTTCGTATTAAAAAAGGATTAAGTCAATTACTCACTAAGTCTTATCTTCTTTTGAATGGAAATTATTAAATTAATTAACGCTATCTCTGATTTTATCTATTTTCGTATGCCATACCTTGGTGTGTTTTTTAAATTCAAACTTTGGTAACTGTATTTGACACAATGATTTGTCCGATCTTCTTCTTATCGTAGTAATTTATTAATTTTTCAACTCCTATTCGTATTGATCCTACTGATCCAGGTCTTTCTCATCCAACAGAGCATTTGGCAACCGAATTTATGGTAATTGAAGGCTAGTGAACTGCCTCCATGGCCGAACGGTTACCATGCTGAACTGCCACGCAGAGGCCCCAGGTTCGAAATATTTGTATGGCCTACATTTATTTCTCTCGTGAGTTTGGATGTGATTTGTGGTTGTCTACGTGAGTGTCCATAACAACCGCGACCCAGGGTTTCCCTAGTGCGGGGCTATGTTGAGTGTTATTATTATTATTAGTCTCAATAGCCATTTAATAGATAAACAAAAAATTCTATGTTGCTTCCATTCGTGATGATGAAAACTATACCTATTATACAAGGCCATTTTGTGTCTGAACTTGGCCATAAATTTTATTATGAAAAGACAAGACTTTCTGAAATTGGTTCCTACTGCAGACTATACATGTGTATCTAGTACACTAACCGTGGCTGACATTAAATATAAAGACATATAAATGCTCTAAATGTAATAAAAAGTTTGAAAGCAAGTTCCCTAAAACATTAAAACAACAATTTCGTGACTTTTGTTGATAAAGGGCTTAGAAAGGAAAATCCTTCAAATAGAGAAAGTAGAAAGCTTGCGAACATGTGCATGCATTGCGAACTTGGCTGCGGTTACTATGGCACTTAATATTATTGAGTGCCCTTTCTAAGACTGATAAATAAATACATTATAAAGGTTTATTTATAATCGTGTTAATGCAGAGAAGAAATTGCCTGCTATCCGTATCAAAAACCATCAATAAATCTAAACGAAGTTAACACTCAACACATTCAAGAAGTATTCAATATACAAATCGTATCTATACTGAATACCACTTGGATGTGTTGCATTTCAATTCGATGCATCAGAGAAATCGCATGATGAGCGACTTTAAATTTATTGATGAGGCTTGTTCTTAATATCCATATATCGCTCCGTAGGACATAACTGGTAGAATTCACTGATTGAATGAATGCCTTTGGTTTTAGAGCATGTGGAATTGTCGACCCGACGCGGCTGTAATAGTAACCATTTGCTAACTGTGAACAATAACATCGCGATGAATTAAGAAGCTTTACAACTCTTGGAAAACATGTACCCAACCTAGATTAGGCCGACGTGGCAGCATATACCATAAACTTTCTACTTAAAGGATACCTAAGCTCCGCTGTGGGATGCATAAATGGTTATTGTTGTTGATGAAAAGTTTGATTCTTTATGAGTGTGTCGAATCGTTGTTGACATCTTTTTCCACATAATTAATAAATATTTTTGCCATTGTTTCAGAATCGTTACATTATGGACGAATGACTGCGCCGTCATAGTGTTAAAGAATTATTACTTTAGTGATTTTGTAAAATACTGATTTAGTGACATCTTTGTAAAGTGACATAATGGATTTCAAAAGGCGTCTGTTGGCTGCGGCTGTTTTGTTGATTATTGGTAAGTTCCGCCTTTTGTTTTACAGACACAATATATCATGAAGTATAATTAAGCAGCCTCTACTCCATCCGTCTTCGGATGTAAGCCTCCTTTGCTCCCGTGACACGTGCATCCAGTTGCGGTCCGCGAAAATTTTGATATCATCCTTCAAATTTTGATGACTCAACGAAGTGGCGGCCGATCTCTGCGGCGCACATTGGCCTAAGATCGCCACTCTAACATTCTCCTAATCCACCGATCTCGATCCATCCTAGTTAAGTAGTGTCCTGCCCATTTCCATTTCATCTAATTCATTTTGTGTACAACATCCCCGACGTTGGTCATCCGTCGAATGCGCTCATTGAGTATACGACCGAGCAATGTTATTCCTAACATAGCTCTTACCATTATCCTCTGTGCGACTATAGCTCAAAGAACCAAAAACATAATTACTTTAAATTAGGTTCATTTGAATAATTACATGTTTCTCTCGAGTTTCGCAAGACTTTTATTACCCTTTGGTAATAATGGTCTGAAGCCAAGAAACTCATTAAGGATGCGTTGCTTGTTGAATAATAAATTATTTTATAAAAATTCTTTATCTGCAGTAAGTTTTTTCCACAAAAACGTCCCGCTGAATTGTAAAATTCTTTGTCTTAACAACAAACGATGAGCTGATCGCTCATTGACTGCCGCTTGAGAATACTTCAAATTTGCCGCATCCATAATTTCCGTACAAAGTACTACTAAAAAACCGACTTCAAAAAATCGTGGAATTACATCTGTTTGCCAAGTCTGATTAAAATCGGTTACCGGAAAGTACGCGAAACCGGATTCATCCCCGAGTTTGCTACCCATAGGGGTGGAATATTATCTTCAAATTTAAATGGGACCAATAAAGAATCAACCAATTCGGTTCATAAATTATCGATTCATGAGTACGTGTGACATACATACAAAATAATACAGTAGATTTGAAAACCTCCTTTTTTGAAAATAATAAGCTATTTTTTAAACGACTTCAAAAACAGGAGGAGATTCTCAATTACATTTTTTTTGTGTGTACGCTTACACTCTGACATTTGTGAACCGATTTCGATAATATTTTTTTTATTGGAAAGTTGGTATCTCAGTAGTCTCTTTCAAATTTTTGTAACTAAAGGTGACAAATTAGGGGATGAATCCGGTACATTGGATAATGCTTTTTAAAACTTGGCAAATAGATATAATTCCATAAATTTTTGAGGTTTTTTATTTACATAAAAAAACTATATTTATTCAAATAAGCTTGTCACGACTTACTATGAAACTGGCCATAGAACCTTTTAAAGAGCCAGAAGTGTTGGTTAGTTTAAATTTCCATAATCAATATTAGTTAAATTTCCAATGTGTAGTAATTGCGAAACCCTATTCTATCATTTTTCACCAGCAACGCTTCAGTTGGTCTTCTAGCGTTGTTAAGGTTCTTGGACGAATCCGACTACTTCAAATAATTTCAAATATTTTAAACCAACATGTATTTGAATATTCATTAATAACAGTAATTATTTCATTAATTAATATGTCTATTTAATCAAAGTCTGATTAATGAATTGGAGTTAAATTATCTTGATTGACTGGTACATAAGATTCGATTTATTAGTTGGATTTTGCATATTTATCTTTTAAAATGAGGTTAGTGTAACTATAGAATATTGAATAGTAATTTTGTGTTTATGACATCGATGGCTGAGTGATTAACACTTGGACACTTTATGATATGGTACAGGCGATTCCCTACTTTGAGATCTCAAAGTGAGGAATCGCCTGTAGGCACTGTAGCGCAGGTTGGTTAGATTGTATTATTTTGTATTTGGAACTGTATAAAAATATGAAGGTTAATTAAATTTTTATTGAATTGATATTCAATTATTTTTTGTGAAATTACTCCACTAGTTTGTTATAATTATTAATACAAAGATCGAACACTCAGAAAAAACACTCAGAAAAAATTCCTTCGATCCGGTCGGATTCGAGCCGTCATCTTCTTGCATACCGTGCCAGACGCTATACCAACTAAGCCACGGAACGAACCAACGGACCTCACGAATTTTTCTATGTGCTTGCGTCGTGTCTTTGTACTTGGTATTTCAACGACTTTTTAGTCGTAGCGCCATCTATGAGAAATCTATGACAGATTTATCACCCAGTTAGTACCTTTACAGCTACCAGTCCTGGCGAGAGATGTCGCTATTCACTGTATTGATATGAATATGAAGGTTGTTGTCAAATGAACATCGGGAGAGTTCTGGACAAATCTTCTAAATTTCGCTCACAGTAAATCTTTAGTTAGGAATATATTCCTTGTTTATTATTAAGCAGTACCTCTCACTACGCTAGAACCACGACTACGTTCCCACAGTACCACTAGAGTGACCATATAATGACTTCAGATACACTATATAGAAACACCTGGGCCAAAAACAAATTAATCTTTTCATAAATCGATTTTACCAGGCATTTAACCTGTACCATATCAAAAAGCATCCAAGTGTTAACCACTCGGCCATCGATGTCATTAACAGAAAATTATAAGTTGTATTTTTACCACAATCCTTATTTACAAGAATAATATCTACTCGAAATATTTATTCTAGGTAGGTCTAGGAGCTTTGTTTGCACAGCTATAGCTAGTTATGCAAACGAAATAAGTTAACTAATGATAATCGGAAAATTGTACGGTCATTAACATGGTGTAAGTTAATAATTTGTCAATATTTAGTAGAGATCACTCTCGAAAACTTGATGAAAACTGCATGTTGACAATTATAGTTATACTTGGAAACCGTGTGAGGTTCCCAACCCTTAAACCTCTCCTTAGAGAAGCTTGTATAATATATTGACGACGCAGAATAAAATTTGAGCCATTTTTCGTAAAAAAAATCAAAAAGTGTGTAAGTATTTGAAATAAATGAGCTAAAATAAATAATCCGAACAAAGAGTCCAGCTGGATTGGAGGAATTTTTCTTTGCGTTTCTTCGATCTTTGTAACAATAACAACAATCTATTACGATAATGACAAGGATTAAAAAAAAATTGATAAATATCATAGTAGTACACCGCCATTATATTCAATAAAAATAAAATTACAAAGTAATTTGGTCAAATTAAAAAGAAAAACACAGTTAACAACAAAATTAGTGTCATTTCACAATATCGCAATATTCTAATCACTAATGCTAGATCAATAGATCATTGATCTATAAGATCGTGATCGATGACGCGAGCGCCTGCCAATAACCGTTAACATGACACTCTCGTTTGATCGATATGAATTTTAAATAAGTTTTTTTTTGTTTGGATACATAAGTGTCTTGGCGCCTTCTTGTAACTGATTAATAATGATTTTAAATTGTAGAACGTGTGTTAATTACATGTCTATACAAGGTGTGAATTAATTTAGGTTAGTCATCGAGTTGGAATAGTTTAATAGGTACCTAAGCCTAGTTCGATTTTCAGAAGGCCAAGAGTCGTTTTGAATCACCTTTAGGGTGTGGAAAAATAATAAAAAGACATACATACATTTATCGGAGCCAGCTATCACCTCAAACATAATTGATTAGATAAAAGATTTAGTATGCTGTTTTGTGTGCTGTGTGGTTTCTTTATTTGCAACTGTCACGTCAGTTTGATAGCTCAAACTGGGTATGGTCGGAGAGAGGGATTACCTTAACTCCGATGTAATATATATACATATATTTATGATATCAAGTGACCAGACTAGTCGTGCGTCTGGTGGTAAGTGACATTCACATCCATATTAGCCGCTCACGCGATACATGCTGCCGTAGACGCATACCACACCTAGAGGTGCCGGTGATGATTTTATACCGATTTATCGGATATCGAAGTTATAACAGGTAAAAGAACTAATATTAATTGCTATTTCGGTAACTACTCTAGCAAACCATAAAGTTTTTAATGCGTGGGTCTGTCATTTAAAAAAAATAAACAACTTCAAAAATACGTCACGACAATCGTGTGTGTTATTGTTTGGGCGGGTGATTTCGGTGTTTATTTATTGAAAACATACCGTAAGTAGCGTTTTTTAAGTTTACCCTGAATATAAATGTTTATAAACTATACTTTAAGGAGTAATTTGATGGTAAACGTTAGAACCACTCAAACGGAATATTATCATATTTATCCAAGCATACCAAACATTTCATTAGTGCTTTTTAAGTGCAGGATTTGCGATGTATTACTGCATTTTATTTGAGATGTTTTTGTTGGTACGGAGGGTATTTATTATGATGCAGAATAATAATTTTTATTTATAAAAACTTGTATTTAAACTGAATGCTTTTTTAATTTGCGAAACCAAATAGCCATTATTGCGATAGAAGGAGCGCATCGCGTGAGCGGTTAGTTGCAGTGCCTCTGAAACCTTTAAATTCCTTGATTTGAAGCCCGCTTGCCGTTACACCCGTTACCTTGAAACATAAAGTTAATAAGTTCAATATGCCTGTAATTCCATCACACAAAACCATCGAAATAAAACCTGTTTTACAAAGCAATCCTCATCTATATTTGCTCTGTGCTGTTCCATTAACATTATTATAAATAAATAATAGAATATTCGCTCCTTGTAGCCAGTTGCTTATATCCAACACAAGACACAAATTTGCGCGGCACCTATGTCGCCAACAAATTGCTCAGCGACTATTACAATGTTATGTTCTTATTTAAATTATAACAATAAACAAAAAGAGTTTTGTGGCTAACCTTCAATCAAAATCACTGAGAACCAAAATTGTTCGAATCCATTGAGGATAAAGTAAGTGGGTGTGTCGGGATAGAATAAATAACAATGGAAATGCTGCAAGAAATCGAAAGCGACAGATGTCTGCTCTTAAACTGTCGCTTGCCAGGTGACTTTTTTTTATAACATCAAGTGACGGGACGAACAAGTCCTGCGCGTGATGGTAAGCTACACGCCTGTCCGCAACAGTTACAGTGCCACTCAGAGCTTTAAATTGCAA